TTATTTAGGGTTCCTTAGGTCAACGCCCCGACTGTACGTTTCGCAATGAAGGCAGCGGGCCCTGAGGCAAGTGGGCCCTGATGTGTGTTGCGGTCTTCGGCTCCCTCTGGGGCCCTCCACGGGCTCCGGGACTGGTCGCCAGAGCGACTCGGGAGGAGGAGCTGGTTTGGGGGGCAGGCCCCAAGTTCCAGGACTCGTTCCCCACAGGACCTTCCACGGGCTCCAGGACTGGTCGCCAAAGCGACTCGGGAGGAAGAGCTGGTCTGTGGGGAAGGCCCCAAAGTTCCAGGACTCGTTCCCCACAGGACATGTTTCTTTCGGGGGTGGACAGACCCCCCTTTAGTAAAACGTGGTTTAGTGAAAACGACCTGAGGCCCAAACCTGGCGGGCGCGAGCCTGGAAAATAACGGCCACGGCGCCCTCTCGAGAACCGAAAGGTGGACAGAGCCCCCAACAGTGACACGTCGATCAGTGAATGGTCCTTTTTCGGTTCTCGGGAGGGCGCCGGGGCCGTTGTTTTCCAGGCTCGCGCCCGCCAGGTTTGGGCCTCTGGTCGTTTTCACTGAACCACGTTTTACTAAAGGGAGGTCTGTCCATCCCCGACAATGGGATTCGATCGAGTATTCTCTGTGTCACTCATCCTCGTCCTTCTCCTTGTTTTTCCGTTCCTATTCTTCCCCAGGGCGTCCCGCGAGTGGAAAGTGTTTCGTCGTTGGCGCGTCAGTCAGCCTATTTCGTTTCCGTCGTCGAGGTCGGCTATGCCCATCACGTGGGCCCCGATGCCGTCAGCTTGCGCCCCCACCAGCCGCAGGTGGAGGCGTCCGCGCTCACGGGGCAGGGCGTCGCCGGGGCGTTCTACGCGCTGCTGGAGGCGGTCCTCGAGGCCTCGCTCCCGGGGAGCAGCGACGGAGACGGAGACGCGCGCGTACCCTCAGGGGCCACGTTAGGGGGGGATTACAGGGCTCATTTCGACTCCTCCGATTCGATTCGATTCGATTTCGATGGCTTCCGATTCCGATTCGATTCGACTTGGGATTCCGATTCGGATTCCGACTTCTTATGGGACGCATAGTAGCCTGCCGATTTCCGCCGATCCGACTTTTCCCGACTCGGCTGCCGATTTTCGCCGATCCGATTCATTTCGATCGCCGATCCGACTCATCGATTCGATTATGGGCTCTCCTGGGGGATTAGCTCCTCGGACGCCTTCGTCGGTTCCGCGCGGTTTCCCAGCGGCAGAGCGAAGAGGGAACAGGGGAGAAGGATAGCGAGGCGAGAGCGGACAACACTTTTCAGCTCGAGCTCTGCCACGAGGCCTCAGCGCCACCTCGGGGGCCACGTGAGGTTCGTCGGTTCGTGGCGATTTGTTGGCCTCGGGGTGCTCTCCAGCAGCTGCGCCTGGCCGAGAGGTGTCCGGGGGGTCGCGGATCGTCCCGCACGGCCGCCGGAGACCCGAGTGATGATGTGAAAGCCGACGGCGAGGACCCAAGAGGAGGGAGGCTCCGGGGGGGGGGGGGGAGGGGAGGGGGAAGGGGAGGGGAGGGGGAGGAGGAGGGAGGAGGAGGAGGAGGAGGAGGAGGGAGGAGGAGGAGAGGAGGAGGAGGAGGAGGAGGAGGAGGGAGGCTCCGGGCGGGAGGGACAGGTCGACCCCCAAGTGGCCCCCCCCTTGATCGCCGACCGTGGCCCGAGATGGCCCCGACCCGCCCAGGGGGCGTGCGGACGCGCCGTCGGGGGCCCAGCGCCGAGCTGTCCGAGTGTTGCGTCGCCGAGATTCTGGGTCGAAACGGTCCCCTCCGAGCTGGCGCCCCCCTCCTCCCCCTCCCTCCCACCCTCCCTCCCTCCATCCCTCCCCTCCATCCCTCCCCCCCTCCCGCTCCCTCCCTCCCTCCCTCCCTCCCCTCCTCCCTCCTCCTCCTCCTCCTCCTCCTCCTCCTCCCTCCTCCTCCTCCTCCTCCTCCTCCTCCTCCTCCTGTCGCTGCCCCTCGGCAGGTCCGGGCGTCGCAGCGGAAGTCGTGGCGGCGGGTCGTTCTTCGCCGAAGAGGCCCTTTTGCGAGCCCTGCCCTTTGGACGCCCGACATGGGTACGGAGAAATGGGGCACAATTCGGGGGGCCGCGTGCGAACCCTATCCCGACCCCCCACGATTTCTGAGGGGAAGGGTGGGGTCCACTTCGTTCGGGAGCTCCCGAGCAAAGTGAACCCCACCCTCACCCTCAGAAATCGTGGGGGGTAGGGGTAGGGTTCGCATGTGGCCCCCTAACAATGCCCAACAACAAATGTTGTCCCAAACCATCCGCGGCCGCTGTCGGGCAGGCGGCCTTCCGTCGCAAATGTACACAGGCCGCGGCGACACCGACGGCGAGTCCTGTGCAAAGTGAGCGCAAGAACTGCCGTTGGGCATTGTACCAGATTCCCAGCCATCCCACGCTCTCTACAGGGGGCGTGGGTAGGGAGCGGCCGCCAGCGAGCCTCCTTCATCAGCGCCGGAGCAGCCACGGAGAGGGCGGGCGGAGTCCTGCTGCTGCTGCTGGTCCTCCCTGCTGCTGCTGCTGCTGCTGCTGCCGCCTGCCGTACCCATTTCGGGCGTCCAGACTCCCCGCCATCCCACGCTCTCTACAAAGGGGGGGAGGTGGGGCCCACGCCGCTCGGGAGGTCCAGCGAAGGGAGCCCCGCCGCCTCTCCCCTCAGAACTCGTCGGGTGGTGGGGTCGGGTTCGCAGGTGGCCAGCCTCGAACGTATCCCTATCCCTAAGATTGACACGCCAAGAGGCGATGACAATCTTAGGGATTCGCCCTCAAACGATAAGGGAATCCTTAAGATTGGCCTCGTGATGAGGAGGTGCCCAGCATAGGGATAGGGATATGTTCCAGGCTGGTAACGGTTGGCCTCCTGTCGTCGTCGCGGTGCGGAGGACGTGGCTCGGCTCCGGGGCCGTCGAAACATTCGGCCTCAGGGGTTGGGCGGCCGGCCCCCGCAGGAGACGGGGCTGGGTTCTCCTCGGGGGCCTGGCGTCTCGAGCAGGCTGCCGCGCCGGAGCAGGAGGCCTTCCAGTGGAGGCCCCTGCCAAGAGACGCCCTGCTTGCCTCCAGGGGGGCCCTGGGTTCCCTGGGTGTCGATGCCTGTGCCACGGAAGGCGCGACGCTCCCGCACCGAAAGTCAGAGGACGTCCTGGGGTCTCGGGGTTCCTTCTGCTCGTCTTCCTCCTCCTCCTGGACGTTGTGGGAGGCTTCTCGTGGTCGAGCTCCGACTGTACTTGCCAGGATTGCCACGGGCCACTTGCCGCGGGCGTTTTTTGGTTCGCGAATCGGGAGCATTTTCTTGTGCATCGCAGGCGATCTCACGCACCCATGAGTCCCCCCCCTCAAACTCGAGCAGGGGATCGGCTAGAAGTAATGTACCCCGACGTTGATTTTCCGCCGAAGCTACGGCAGAATTACGGAGAATTTTACTACGCATTGCAGATTCGACGGGACATCATTTTTGGGGGTGTCTGTGGTCGATCCCCTACTCGAAAACCATTTGGCCGCTCAGAAGAGGAGTGCAACTCGGGGATGAGAGAAAACCGCTGCAGCCGAATCCTGCTCCGGCAGAACCGCCCCTGCTAAGACCGTTCCGCTCTGGCAGAAACCAGCTCCGGCAGAATCGTTCCGGCAGAAACCCGTTTCGGCAGAGACCGCTTTGGCAGAAGCCCGTTCGGGCAGAAACCCGCTCCTGCAGAGACCGCTTCGGCGGAAACCGCTCCGACAGAAGCCCGCTCTGGCAGACGCCCGCTGCGGCAGAGACCTGTGAAGGCAGAAGCGTTTCCTCTTTGTTCGTAAAGTTTGTGTTTTTATTCTTAGGCGATGACGGCCGTCACCGGGGGGGAGGGACCGATGACGTCACGTTTCGCGCAGGTGGCGTTTGGGAATGCTTCGGGATGACCGAGGACGGGTAGGAGCATCATGTAGGTTGCGATCTGCACCACAGCGCCTGTGTGAACCACCGTTCCTGCGTGCACCACAGCCCCTGTGTACACCACAGTGCCTATCTACACCACAGCAGCCACGTGCAACACAGCGCCAGTGTGCACCACAGTACTTTCATGCACCACAGCGTTGGTGTACACTATAGCGCCTGCGTATACCACAACAGCCGTCTGCAACACAGCACCAGTATACACCACAGTGCCTGCGTGCACCACAGCGCCTCTGCACACCGCAGCGCCTGTGTACACCACAGCAACAGTGTGCAACATACACCATTGTTGCACATATAATGTCAGAAAGGATTCTTCTGCAAAAAATTGATCGCCTGTGGATTCTACAGAAGCCAATTGTGTTATATAGGATGTCGAAGTGAATCCAGATGATAAAGGGAGCGCCTCTGGAATCTACGAGTCCTCCCGAGTGTTCCCGCATCACTCTATTTCCTCCCATCTGCGTCTAGAAGGTTTCCGCAGAGTTGTACGTCCGAGAACCAAGTGGACTGATTTAATCGACCATTTTTCTGGGATCGTTTCACCACCAGCTTAGAGCGTGAAATGCACAACGCGCGCATGCACTGCAGCGCCGACCCGCACGACGGGGAGAAGGGTGAGGGAGGAGGATGAGGAGGAGGAATAGGGCAAGGAGGGAGGAGGGAGGAAAACTGCATTTTATGATCAGCGCTTCCCCTTGCGTGGTGTTTAGCTGTCCGCAGCGCCCTCACCTACATGCTCCTTCTACCTGTCATGAGCAGGCAGGTGCCGTGGTGTACACCATCGCTGTGTTGCACGCGGATGCTGTGGTGTACACGGGCGGCATGGTGTGCGCAGGCGTTGCGGTACACGCAAGCATTTGTGGTGTACATTGGTGCTGTCTTGCACGCGGATGCTGTGGTGTACACGCAGGCGCTGTGGTGCACGCAATCACTGTGATGTAAACAAGCTCTGCGTTGCACACGGCTGTTGCGGTGTACACAGGCGTTGTGGTGTACACGCGCGCTGTGGTGAACGCGAGCATTGCGGTGTGCACAGGCGCTGTGGCACAGATCGCCACCTACATGTTGCTCCTACTTGGCCTCGGTCATCCCTGGGCATTCCTGGACCTCGCCGGCGCGGAACGTGACGTCACCTTGAGGGGGGTGCGTGGCCGGTGACGACCGTTATGGCGGAAAACAATGAAACATATTATTATTGTTATTGTTATTGTTTTCACTCTTGCTGTCTCCCTCATTCCTCGCCCTGCTCCTCCTCGTCCGCCTGCTCCTCCTCTTATTCCTCTTCCGCCTGCTCCTCCTGCGTCTCTTCCTCCCGCCCTCCCTTATCCCTCGTCTCTGCAGCTTCCACGCTTCCCTCAATACTGCCTTCAATCCTGATCCCCGCCTCCCACTCTCGTACCCACTTTTTCGTAACAGCGCCCGGTGTTCCGCAGCCTCCATCTTCAATGCGCGCCCCACTACTCCACGGCCTCCGTCGCCAACGCACACACAGTTTCCACCGCCTCCGCCTCCAACAGAAACCCCAGCACTCTACAGCTAGGGGGGCCACACGCGAACCTTACCCCTACCCCCCACGATTTCTTCAGGGGGGTAGGGGTGGGGTTCGCATGTGGCCCCCTAACAGCCTCCCGCTCCGGGGCGGCTTCCTTTGGAGTTGCATTTACAACCCGAGCCCGCCCGCCCGCCGCCCATCCCGCCCACCCCGCCTGTCCCGCCCTCCGTCTCCGACACTGCGCCCAGTACTCTACGCCTCCGTCTCCCAAGCAGCACCCAGTACTCCGCAGCCTACGCCTCCGACACAGCTCCTCACTACTCACAGCATCCGCCTCCAACAAGACACCCAGTGCTCTTCGTCTTCGGTCTCCGACGCACACCCGTACGCCACGGGCTCCGTCTCCACGGCGGCGTTCTCAGGGAGTGCTGAAACC